ATAAGGAAAAGGACAAAAGAAAGAAGGCAAAAAGATATATTTATGTATATATACAAGACAGTTTGGATAATTTTACTGCTAATATCTGCTGGTCTATTGAAAGGAGATGCTAATGCTTAATTTTTATTTATTTTTCATTATTTTTGACTTTTAAACTTTTTAAAAACTTTTAAAAACTAAATTTAAGATTTATATCTGGTAACCTAAACAGTTAATTTGAAGATAACATTATACAATATAACAATCATTGTTCAATTCCTATTACTTTGTTTAATGAAATCTTGTATCATTTGTAACTTTTTTTTTTTTACCATTTTGTATTCTTTAAAAAAATGTGTGACACTAAAGGGAAAATTCGGTATGGCTGAATATGAAAATTATGCCCAACTGAGCTACAGATCACATAAAGCTTCGATCAACGTCTTAGAATGTTTTATATGTGAACTGACATTTTTTCTCTCAGTTATATGGAAATCTAAAAACCTAAAATTACTATAATAATGTTCAAAGAGAACCACAAAAACAAAATTGAAGAAACTACACTCAGACAAAAAAATTTATACACTTGCAAATTAAAACAGTACTGTTTGAAGAAATGATAACAAACAGTGGAATGGAACATATAATCCTTAAACACATGGACACACACATCCCATACACATAATAGATTCCACTAACTCATGACAAATGTTCCACTTTGCAATGAGGGAAATAGCAGTTACCTCTAACTGGTGCTTATCAATTACTTTGGCTCCTTCCTTACATTTTATATATATAAATAAATTTCAAGTGAAAATTTAACTTGAATATAAGAGATTAAACAAGTTTTCAAGAGGATACTACAGAAATAGAGCTTAATGATTGGTACAAAGATTTTTTTATACAAAACATTGAAACCATTAACAATAAAATAAGATTAATAAATTGAATTAGATGAGCATTAAAAGAATCTCCAACAGAAGACTCCTATTCAACACACACACACACACACACACACACACACGATTCCTACTTAAAAGAAACAGTAAGAAAATTTTGTAACACAGTGAGTTAAATATAAAAGAAGATATTAATAGCCAATATACTTGAGGAAATTCACTAAGATCATGAGACATCAGTAAATATGCAATTCAACTTAATTCCAGAATGAGATATTTTTAAGTACACCTTAGAATGACTATACTTTAAAAAATACTAGATTACTAAACATGGGAAAGTATATGGGAAGAACATATTTACTAAAGCAGAAAATTTTCATACATTCTATCCCCAAAATTCCACTCCCAGATACATATACATAAACAAAATCAGTTTGTATTTGCATTAAAAATGTACAAGTATGATCATATCAGCTTTATTTGTATTGCTCCAAGCTGAAAACTAGCTAAATCCCAACAATAATAAATTGCACAAAACTGAGCTATATTCACATAATTGAATATTATATAGCAATATATAACACACAACATAAGGGAACATTACATATATACATTATGTATACACACATGTTTATGTATATATAATACAATGTTGCATGAAATAAGAAACAAGAAAAAGAAATATGGCTTCATTCATATGAGAGTCCCACAATACTAGTTTACAGTAATAAATCACCAAATTTTCTGATATGATAATAGATACCTTTGTGGAGGTTAGTGTCTAAGAGGTGTACAAGGGAGGTTTCTGAGATTCTATCTGGTATTATTTTATGGTGTATTCATTCGTAAAACTAATTTAGCTAAACTTTTAAGATGTGCTTACTTGAGATTTTTATATTATACCTGATTAAAAATTACCCAAAAGAGGTAGGTCCAAGGTATTCCAGAATATTCTAAATGGGACAAATAAGAGTTGTTGCAGTAATAGTGAACAAGGGGTCAATGAAGTAAAAGACAAACAACATAAAATAAACAGTGATAACTAATGATAAATGTGTACCTTAAAATGTAAATATATTCAACATATCTTTTTATATATTACATGTGCAAACATTTTAAAAAGTGGTAACCAATAATTGTGTATTATTGCTAGGATACAAATCTTTCAAATCTTAAGGACAACAATTTGGAAGTAAATATTAAAATTAGAAAAGCATAGACTCTTTTACTCAGAAACTCTAACTCAGGAATTTATCTCATATGAGCACTTAAACATAGTTAAAATGGGGTATGAGCCCAGACTTATAATAGCAGAAGATTAATAGTAAATTAAACACCCCACTAACAGGTCAACAAACTAAGTCAAAGTATATACATATAACTCAAAATCATGTAACTATAAAAATGCAGAAGTGCTTAATATAATGAAACTGAAGGACAAGATATATTGTAAAGTGAGATAAATGCAGTACAGCAGAGTGAATAAAAGAAGAAGTTAAATAGAATATTTTCTTAGTTTGGTTACAAAAGCAAATGGCCTAGAAATATATATAAGAAACTAATAATAGTATTATTTTTAGGAGATAAATAATGTGTATGGAGATGATAGGAAAGACAGTTGTATTCAATTTTTTGATGTTTAAACTAGGCAAATATATCACTATTCCAATTGAGATTGTGGATGGGAATTTAAAGTGAAATTACAGAAATGTGCTATAGGATACTTAATTCTATTTTATATTAAAGACTTTTATCTATGACAAAACATGATTTAAGTAATATTTTAAGAAAATGAATTTTTCAATATGTCAGGTAAAATGGATTGTAAAAGGGAGTTTGGAAAGGAAGGATATCTGCTAGAATATTTTTTGATACTCTTGGTATGAACTGATAATTTTTAAATGGTATTAATGAGAATGCAAAAGGAAGACCAAATGTATGAAGAAGTTTTTAGAATAAAAATAATAAAACAAGTACCAAAATATTGTTAAAAGAAACATTTATACATGACACAACTAAGTTCTGCATAACCTAGTTTTCTTAAAACTAAGGATGAGGAATGAATAACTTTTAAAGGATGGGATAAATTGAAAAAATGTTATAATTCTCAAATATTTTCTAAAACTCTAAATTCATGTTTTCCAAAGACATTATTAACTTTTTTCAGTTTTAAACAAACACTAATAAAAAGTTATTACAATCTTATGTTATCCTGCACAAAACCAGACGTAATATTCAGTATCACAGATATATTTAATTTTTTGTGCTTCAAAATATGTACATTTTATAAAATTATAAAATAATCAAACTAATCAGATAAAAATTTTTAAAGTAAAAATCTATCCCACTACCCAAAGGTTTTTGTTAATTTTTTTTTGTACATTGAAATTATCCCTAGGCATCGTTTTTCTCATTTTAAGTATATTTTAATGGGCATATGCTTTATCTCAATGTTTCATTTCACATCATAAACTATTTCTTTGTCTTTTTTATTTTGTGCAGGATCTCACTATGCAGCTGGAGCTCATAGTGATACTCCTATTTTCAGCCTCTAAAGAGCTAGGATTACAGGCGCATGCCACCATGCCCAGACTTGGTCACTGGCTCAGCACGTCTGGGGATGGGACTGGCAAGACAGTCATATATTCTTTTTTTTTTTTGTCACTCAATATAAAAGTTTCATAATAGTCCAACCAAATAGTAACATTAGCTCTTATATCTATATTATATATTTTCTAATAACTTAGTTCTAGTCACAAGATGATGAAGTTTCTGTATATTGTCCATTTTATTTGATATTTATTAGGCATTATTAATTTTTCTACAAAATAACCTTTTATAAAAGCCTTTAAGGAGCTGGAGAGATAGCTCAATGGCTTAAGTGCCTGCTTAGCAAGTGCAAAGTCCCAAATTCAATTGCACTCAGACTTCTGATTTTAATTTTATTTGGAGTCAGAAATACTCTTAGCCAGGTGTGGTAGCACACATCTATAATCCCAGCACTTGGGAGGCTGAGGCAGGATAGCCATGAGTTTGAGGTCAGCCTGGGCTACATAGGTAGTTCAAGAACAGTAAGACCTTGTCTCAAAAAAAAAATCAAAAAGATTTTTCAGTCCCAAAAATCTGACTTTAAAAAACCTGTATGGAGGAGTGATCCTTCAGTCTAAGTGTTACCCTGATCCAGACAAAACACATATAGTACTTGTGTTAGTGCATTAAAACATTCATCATT